TGTGTGAGAAAAAACTTTTCTTGGATGAGAAAGGAAAACTGGTTGAAAAAAAAAAAATGACTATTTGTAGCTCACTTTTAATCTCAAAGGCTTTCATATCTATTTCCCAGGATGCCATAATCTTTTATCAAAAAAATGTTCTTGCCATTTATAGAAACATTATAACAGTACATCTTCTGTGATTCAACAGAATGCTGGCATGCTGTTGGATTAAACAGGTGGTGGTGCTGGGTATGTGCTGTGGAGTCAGTTCCAATTTATAGCGACCCTATATAGCGTTTCCGAGGTTGTAGATCTTTAGGGGAGCAGAAAGCCTCATCTTTCTCCCACTGAACGGATGTGAGTTTCAAACTGTTGACCTTGAGGTTAGCAGCTCGACTTCTAAGCACTATACTCCTAGAGCTCCTAGGATTAAACAGAGAGAATACAAAGGCAGTGATGTCACTAAGTTTGTTGTCATCCATAGCGTCACACCATCCCCTTTGGACCTCTTCCTATACCAGTCTATGCAGAATCTTTGATGATGTTTCTTTTAATTTTATTTATAGAAGAATATGTGACACACATAGTTGTAAATTGCTTAAATGGAGTATTTTTAGATTATATGAATGCTAACAAAAATTATTTCCTAAGATCTTTCCACATTGAATTACATTTTATTGTTGTTGTTGTTAAGTGTCATCGAGTTGGTCCCCACCCATAGCGACCCTGTATAGGGTTTCCAAGGAGTAGCTAGTGAGCTTGAACCACCGACATTGCAGTTCAAACAGCTTTGCAGTCTCATGCATTAACCCACAGCGCCACACCAAGATTCCAAATTACATTATTAGTTACAACATTATTAGTAACGGAGCAAAAGCTATTTTTTTTTCTTTTCTCCTTTTCCTTTAATTGCTACTTCATTCTCAAAAAAGTTATTGATACCGGTTCACAAATGCTAATTACTACGATTTTATTGTTGTTGTTGTTAATTGCCATCAAGTTGTTTCCAACCCATAGCAACCCTGAATAGGGTTTCTGAGGAGGGGCTGTTGGATTTGAACCTTTGACTTTGCTGTTCAAACTGACCTTGTGGTCCAGTGCTTTATCCTACAGCACCATAACAGGACTACTACAATACTGTAGCTAAAATACTAGAATATTTGACAAAATCAGCAACTATGAAAGCACCAGCCGTAACAAAAGAACAGCGTGTGATTTGCACACTTTTAATGTCTGTGGGTGATTGAAAGAGTCATTGTAATTAGGCTATAATGACAGCTTCGACAGGGGCACCTTAAGAAGGTTTACGAAGTAAATTAGCATAGAGTTAGTTATACTGACCAGCCGCTCCTTGGAAACCCTATACAGAGTCTCTGTGAGTTGGAATCGACTTGACGGCACTTAACAACAAAAACAACAAGCTGGGCTTATGAAAAGTATCTTTGTTGTTCTAACTAACAGCAGAGTTATTTATAGGAAAATAAATCATAAATTTATGTGAAAATCATAAAAGAATCACAGCACAAAACTTTGTATCCTTTTGTCTTAACCCTTCTGACAATGTGCCTTGGTGCAGTCTACATGTCCCACCGCATCCTCCGTACCCTAATAGTGACACCACTGTATAATGTCAGGTTTGGGGAATGAAAAAGAAGCAAACAGTGCTCTTTGGATGAGGAGTCAAATATTTAGTTCACTGTCGTTTTGAATTCCAGCAAACTTTAGTCTTCTGACCCAGAAAATCCTTGAGGAGATGGAGCCTGGAGAGGCTACAAGTTTAAATGATAAATATATCACTTTTGACTTGTTATGGCCCTGTGTGCAAGGAGAGAAAATGCTAAGCAAATATTTTCTCTTTGCGCTGAAAGCAAGTAAAAAATGCATTACAAATGAGCTAATCAGTTGACCTCATACTGTTTGACTAAAAGTAATTTTCCTTTGTGTCATTAGCTATAAATACTTGGGCTCTCTATCTGAAGATGATTCTGTAACAAGTAGTATGTGTGCCTCTTAAACTTACCATGTTGTTTTTGTTACGTGTGGTTGAATTGGTTCCGATCCATAACGACCCTGTATAGGGTTTCCGAGGAGCAACTGGGGAGCTTGAGCCACCAACTTTACAGTTCAAACTACTTTGCAGTCCATTTCATTTCCCCATAGCGCCACACCATAGGTGACACATAGAACCTGAACCTAGGCTCTTATGACGTGACCTCTCCTGCTCTTTATGAGACCTATGTTATTGCCATCTCTCGAAGACCAAACACAGTTGGTTGCAATTAACCCATTCTTTTCTTCTGGGAACTACTTCTCAGAATATATCTAGTTTCTCAGGGTTTTAAGATAAAAGGGATCAGGTATACAACTTTTGTGACAAATTTTTTTTAGCATTTTGTGTTTTTATTTCCCATGGTAGTTGAAATGTACAGTGATCTGATTTGGACAGTGTGGACACAGGAGGCTGGTGACCTGGTCAGGTGTGTGGCTGGGTGAGGCACGGGCTGCGCTGGTGGTGAGATGGATACTCTGTGCATGTTGAGGGGGCATGGTGAGGAGGGACAGTGGAGCACATGGGGGCATGGACAGGTAGCCATGGGACTGAGTTTGTGAGTGTAGGGAGCAAGGCTGGTGGTGAGGGCACTGGGGTCTCTACTGTGTTAATGTGTCACTTCCTGGTCCTACATCTATAGTGGAGCCTTTGGGGCTTGGCCAGCACCTGTAGAGGAACAGAGGAGCCCCAGCAGGTGCTGCTCCGTGTTAGGAGTAAAGGTTGCTGCATGACTGCTGGGCAGGTGAAGGAGGAGGTGCTGCAGGGGTTGGGGTATGCCCCCGAGCCCCACTGCTCACTCACTCTGGGGGCTTGGGGGCTTTAAAAGCATCAGGGGAAATAATAAAAGGGACGCTGCCTTCCCTTTAAAAAGAGAAAAGCTTATGGGACCACAGAGATAGATGTCATGTTGCTGAATTAAGCAATGCATACCTATATTTTAATATTAGTGTGGTCAGAAAACACCTTACTTTAGCACTGCCTAGGAGTCCTGGTGTGCCGCTGTGGGTTAATGCTCCAGACTGCAAAGCCGCCGTTTGAACGGCAAGGGCAGCAGTTCATGCTCACCAGCTGCTCCTTGGAAACCCTATACAGGGTTGCTATGGGTCGGAATCGACTCTACGGCACTCAACAACAACAACAACAGGCAATTTTAGATGTGGGCATTTGTGATCATGATTAGTTTTGGGCACGAATTGTGATTACTTTAAGAAGCCCTGTTGGTGCAGTGTAGAGTGCTTAGCTACTATCTAAAAGGCTGATGGTTCAAACCCATCAGATGCTCCATGGGAGAAAAGACCTGGTGATCTGCTCATGCAAAGATTTGAAAAACCCATCAAATCGCAACCTATAACAACCCTATAGGACAGAGTAGAACTGCCCCCATAGAGTTTCTAGCACTATAAATGTGTACAGAAATAGATTGTTACATCTTTCTCCTGCACAGAGGCTAGTGGGTTCAAAACATCTACCTTTCAGCTAGCAGCCCAGTGCTTAACCACTCCTTAACGATTAGGAAACTGTACAGGGCAGCTCTACTCTGTCCTATCCTGTAGAGTTGCTCTGAATTGAACTCAACTTCACACAACAACAATGTGATTATTGTAACTATCACCAGTTAGTGAATAAAGGGCAGAGACTGACTTAAATGAGTAAGCAATGTGTTTGGAACTGCACCTAAATTACAAGTTTCTGTACTTGTGAGGAGTTTGTTGTTTTGTGAACTCCTGAGAGCTAGACTGTGTTGTTGCTCCACGTCTGACAAGTTCACCTTTAACAAGGTGCCTGCAGTTGTAACCACTTTTCTATTACGTGTTTTAGTGGATGATATTTGAGTTTTTCTTCTCTGACCCATGTCTGCCTTACACAGGTCCCGACTTCTGCATTTTTTATTGCAATGACATAAAAGCAATGAGCCTCAAGTTATCATAGGCACGTGGTAGTCTTGGTATGACAAACTCAAGAGCTCCAGGCGTACAATGCAAACAGCAATGTTGTCTCACCAAGACACTGTCATCTTTTTAATATCAATTTGAGTTTTATTTGCTTTACTTTTAAATTATAGATGGATGGATGGATGGATGGATGGATGGATGGATGGATGGATGGATAGATAGATATCATTATTGTTCTTGTTAAGTGGTGTGAAGTCAGTTTTGGCTCAGCGACCCTATATAGGGTTTCTAAGGAGTGCCTCATGGCTTTGAACTGTTGACCTTGCAGTTAGCAGTCCAGTGCATATCTAAAGCACCACATCATGACTTCGTATATATATTGTTGTTGTTAAGTGTAGCATTTCCAAGGAGTGACTGGTGGTTTTGACCTGCCAACTTTGTGGTTATCAGCCCATTACTTATTCTATAGTGCCACACCTGGACTCGGTGTATGTATATATTGTTGTTGTTATTGTTAAGTGTCATTGAGTTGATTCTTAGCCATAGCAACCCTGTATAGGGTATTCAGAGAATGGGTTTGAACCACCACCTCTGTGCAGTGCTTAATCTACAGTGCCACATCAAACTCCCTATATACATTAGGGACTCCTGTTTGTGGCATTGTAGGATAAGCACTGCACTGCTAACCAAAAGGTCAGTGGTTCAAACCCACCAGTCGCTCCTCAGAAACCATATAATAAAAGGTTGCCATGAGTTGGAACTGACTTTACGGCACTTAATAACAATAACAATAAAAACTAATTATATCAAACTCTTAGTATAACTGAAGCTATTCTTAGTTTTTTGAGTGTTCAGATTTAGGTAATATCATAAAAATAATTTAGTTTGGAGGGATCTTGAAAACTTTTCTCCTACAGAATAATTGTATCCTTGAGTTACCGTTAGAATTGTAGTATGCCTCACTTTCTTATAAACAACGACAGCTATATATTGGCTGTTGCTAAGAGAACTTGATTTAAAAATCATAACAGAACAAAACAAAAACAAAACTAAGAAATTTTGCTGTTTTGTTTCAGGGCCGAGATCTGGACTTTAAAATTCAGGAATATAAAGAAGCTGGAAAAACGTTTCCAGAAAATCAAATAGTAGAATGGTTTATCCAGCTGTTACTGGGAGTTGACTACATGCACGAGAGGTATGTTCACTTGCTACTGCGAAGCAGGGTTTTCTATCTGAACATGAAAAATGATTTTTCTTTTCATGAGAATTGAAAGAAAACAAGTACAAAGGGTAAATGGGCTATAATTAAACATCAGCAGTATGATTTTTTTATGAGGAAACCTGTTGAGTGATTATTTCTAGAGGATTTACTTGCATAGCTTTGTTTTGTTTTGTCTTTCTAAATTTCAAGTTGACTTTGAATATAATCCAGAAACTTGTATTAAATACATCTCCTTATATCTGACAGTATCATGTGAATTACAAATCAGATACCTGTAGTACACTAAAATTTATTGTAGCTTACAGTAGCCTTGGGCTATAAATACTCTCGGATGCTACAAATGAATTGCATGGTCACCTTGGAATGTGTCCCTGCACTGTTAACTGGTTGCACATCCCAAGCTGAGTTAAGGCATTGATGTGGGAGATATTCCTTGGCCTCGGAGAGATAAGTGTTCAGACTAAAAGTCAGTTTTGCCATGAAATATCTTCTAAAGAAGGTCACAGTATGTTTTATGACTTTCAGTTGCCTATAATTTGAATTTACAATTCTTGACTCAAGAAAATATTACAAAAGTTTCTATCAGGAGTCCTGGTGTGGTACTGTAGGATAGGCCCTGGACTGCTACCCGCAAGGTTGGTATTTTAAACCCACCAGCCAACCCTTGGAAACCCTGTACAGGATTGCTATGAGTCGGAACCGACTTGATGACACTTAACAACAATGAAAAGAAAGAAGTTCCAGATGTTAAATTTTGCAGACTTCTCAAAATCAGTAAATGCCTTTGAAAGGATGAACATTCATAGACAAATAAAGGTGGAACCACTGAGGTATCCATGAAAGTGGTAACTTACAGGGTAAATCAAAGTTCGACTGTCCATGGGTATCAGTCTGTTTAGATGCGTCGTCTGTAGTTTCTGATAGCATAAGAAGTAATCGGATTTTTCTGTGCTTTTCTATTTATCTTCTAAAACACATGCTTGATGATACAGATAGCCACTGGTTTATTGACAATGCCGAACCATCTCTTGAATGATGTCAAACTATCCTGAGAGACCGTGATAAAGGAATATCAAATAATCTTTTAATAAACTATCCAAAGCTGCTGAATCTAAGACTTCAGTCTATATACAGTTATATTGGTATTTCTTTCGTTTTCTTTACTACCCCATGGCATATTGTTAGCTTATTATACACAAGGAAAACAACATTTAAGATAGATTCCCACACTTGTGTTCTATGTACAAAACATAAAACTATTTGAAATCTTGGATTTAAGATCCAAATATTTTTGATGCATTTGGTTCTGCTTAATAGTAATTTTATATATATAAGCTTAAAATGTTTCAAGGGGAATATTGTCACGAAATGTTTTTAAATGTTTAGGATTGTTTCTGAAATGTATGGAAGTAAGAAAAGCAGTCAAAGCTTCGATAATGTTTTATACTACTAAATAGTAAAGTCATTAAATGGGGCTACATATTAGATATTTGTGATTTGTGAGTCTGATGTACCATCCTTTGTGATTCAGATAATAGATTGCACTTACATGCGATATTAGTGGTATTGTCAGAAGATTTCCACATTCCATTGAGTCACTTCTTTTTGGAATGGGCACAGATATGAATTTCTTCTAGTCAGTTGGCTAGGTAGTTGTCTTCCAAATTTCTTGGCATAGATGAATGAGAGCATCCAGTGCTGCATCAGTTTGTTGCCAAGATTTCAATTTGTATTCAGTCAATTCCTGGAGCCTTGTTCTTTGCCAATGCCTTCAGTGCACCTTGGACTTCTCCCTTCAGTATTATTGGCTCTTGATCATGTTCCATCTCTTGAAATGGTTGAACATTGACCATTTCACTTTGGTACAGTGATTCTTTGTACTCGTTCCATCTTCTTATGATGCTTTCTGCATCATTCAACATTTTCCCATAGAATCCTCCAATATTTCAAGTTGAGGCTTACATTTTTATTTCAGTTCCCTCAACTTGAGAAATGCTGAGCATATTCTTCCCTTTTGGTTTTGTAACTCCAGATCTTTGTGCATTTCGTTGTAATATTTAACTTTGTCTTGTCCAGCTGCTCTTTGAAACTTTCTGTTTAGCTCTTTTACCTCCTCATATCATCCATTTGCTTTACTGGAGTGCAAGTTTCAGAGTCTCTTCCATTTTGGTCTTTTCCTTCTTTCTTGTCTTTTTAATGACCTTTTACTTTCTTTCTGTATGGTGTTCTTGATGTCATCCCACAAGTCCTCTGGTCTTCTATCCTCATATCTGTGCTTGAAGATGATCTCTAAACTCAGGTGGGATGTGTTCAAGGTCCTACTTTGGTTCTTGTGGGCTTTTAAAAATTTTCTTCAGCTTCAACCTGAGCTTGCATATGAAATTGATGATCTGGTCCACAGTCTGCCCTGGCTTTGTTTTGACTGTAGTCATTATTAATGAAAATACATGAAAGAAGTATGAAAACTGTGAAGTTCTTTATAAATGGTAGTGGTTGTAATTCTGTGTAGAAATGAGGGCATCACCACCAAAAGGGCTAAAAAGATACCTTGATGATACAAAGTGTTGGCAAGGATGTGGAACAACTACAACTCTCTTACATTGCTGGTCAGAATGGAAATTGGTATAATCACTTTAGAAAAATGTTTGGAAGTGCCTCCTAAGCTAAACATACATAGCCCTTGTTGTTTTGTGCTTTTGAGTGGGTTCCAACTCATAGTGACTCTTTATGAGGTTTCCGATGCTGTAAATCCTTGTAGGAGCAGAACCCAGTAATTCTACTCCTGAAAGTGTAAACAAGTACTTATATCCACAAAAAAATATTGATATCAGCATTATTTGTAATGGCAAAAAAACTGAACTTTTTCCTTCTACAGTGGAATGGTTAAGTAAAATTGTGGTATCGTCGCAGAAGAGATAACTACTCTCCAATAAAAATTATAATATAACAGGTCCGCAGGTGGCACAAACAGTTTGCACTTGACTGCTAACCTAGTGGTTGGCAGGTTGAACCCTCTACCAATAGTACCGTGAAAGTTGTTGTTGTTAAGTGCCATGGAATAGGTTCCAACTCATATCCACCCTATATGTGTAAGGAGTGCCTCATAGTTTTGAACTGCCAACTTTGTGGTTAGCAGACCCGTTCTCATCCTACAGCACCACACCAGGACTCCACCATGGAAGATAGACCCGGCAAATCTGTTTCCATTAGCCAAGAAACCCGAAGACCTGGTGTGTTACAAATGAATTACCAGGAGTCAGAATCAAATCAACGGTAACCAACCAGAGCAACCACTGATATACATGACATGGATGAATATCAGAGCTGTAATGTTGGACAAAGAAACCAGATGCAAAAGAGTGCGTATTACATAACTGCATTTACAACAGTTCCAAAATAGCTCAAAGAAACCTTCCGGGATGCCGAAAGTGTTCTAGATCTTGTTTTGGGTAGAGGTTTACAAGGACGACAAACATGGAAAATTCATCAAGCTTAAGGTTTACGTACTTTCACTGTCTGTAAGGAGTCCTGGTGTGACGCTGTGGGTTAATGTGCCAGAATGCAAAGCTATTTGAACTGCAAGTTTGGTGGTTCAAGCTCACCAGCTGCCCCTTGTCGCTATGGGTCGGAACCAACTCGATGGCACTTAACAACAACAACAACTGTATGTAAAACAAGTGACAGAATCTTCTTTCAAACAGGTGGTAAGGTTGCCAAGAAAAATATGATTAGTTGCTATAGGAGATCTGATGTGTTCAATTTGGAGAATCACCGAAGGCTGCATACTGAAAGAAGGGACATTTGACCAGGTTTGAGATCTGGGTCCAAACAGCAGAGGAAATAGAGACAACCTTGGGAAAACTACAAAGCAAGAGGGTTCAGAAAAAATGGAAGATTTTTGCTCGCTCCTGTCGAGCTTTCCTGACCTTAATTTGGTATATTTGTATGCATGTAATATTCTGTATCTACAGCATATGGCACAAAACACTTATAAATCATGATGTCAAGAGCCGAGAATAGTCAGAGTTCACTAAAAGCTATCTTAAGAATGTGGCACTGAAATGCATTCCTGTTAAAGAAGGGGATTTCAATTAGCCTAGATTTCTTCTTATGATTCAGGACAGAGCAGACGCTCCATAGAGAGCCCACTGTCTGGTGCTCTTTCTGATTTCATGGTGGAGAAGAGAATGGACCTAGGACATTGTCTTACTTACCTAGTGCTGCTGCTGTAAGAGAGGTATCACAAGTGGATGCCTTTAACAAACAGAAATTTTGTTTGTTAAATTAGGAGGTTTGAAATCTGAATTCAGGATGCTGGACCTAGGTTGTGGTGCCTTGAATTTGCTTGATATGACTTTTCTATCCAAACTCTTCTTAATTCCCACCAGTTGATTGGATGGGATCATGCAAATAAGCTATACAGGAATCTAAAGCTGGGATTGGCTAGTTTTACCTCCAGTTAGGTTCAAAGGGAGCCATCTCAGAAGCAGGGATGAGCAATCCCAGGACCATCAAGAAGGAAGAGCATGAGTGGAACATGAACTTCTACCTAGAAAAACTGCGACAGCAGAGGTGACAGCAGAGGTGGTGACCTGGAGAGACAGAGTTGCTTCAGACTCTAGGCCCATGCACTGAGTAAAGCTGAGTACCTACAGGCCCAGAGACTGACTTGCAGAATGTGCCCTTTCGATATTCACAGACTAGCTAAAAGAGTTTTGCAACACTTGCCAGAATAGGGAAGAGGCCAAGGGGATGCCTGACTGAGACGCTGAAAACAAGAGTGAGGCATGCCTGCAGTATGGCAGACAAGAGGCATTCCTGACTGGAGAACTGCTGCATCCTAAGTTGGTTTTGATCCTCAATTGTACCCTGTTCATTTCCCTAGTAAACCCCATTATCATAAGTGTTGTTATGAGTTCTGTGTGGCCATTGCAATGGATTATAGAACCCAGTTGTGAAGCAGAAAGTGCCGT